AGGACCCTCCAAGGATGGTGGCACGACCCCAAGCCGCGTCCCTTTCTTTCTCCGTGGGACTCACGGGTTTTGTTCCCCACGGTGCCTGCCCGTGTCAGCACGGGGGTGGTGAGGGGGTCCCCGCTCCAAGGAGGGCTTGGGGTGGTCACTGCCCACGTCGTCAGCTCGTCCGCGTTCCCGGTGGTTGCGGTGGGGTCTCCCGTTGGCTCCGGGACCTCATCACGCTGCGTGGTGCTCCGATGCCCTGACTCCTTTTCTTTGAGGACGAGAGCTGGGAACGAGGATCGTTAATTCATGTCAACATCTCCCCAAACCGGAACGGCTGGAGGGGGGCTGCACCGGCCCCACCGTGCTCCTGCACCGGGAGCATGAAGGAAAGGCGAGGTGGGGGCAAGAACAATCGAACCACGTCCCGCCGGCTCTGCCGAGACAAACCCCTGGTGATGAAGAAGATGCTAACGGCAGCAGCAGCGCGGGCGATGCCGGGGAGACCAAGCCCAGGGCTTCTTGAAAGGCACGCGTGGCCACATGCCGGGAGCGTCACACCGATGGAGCCCCAGCATCACCGCTGGAGGTTGGGCAAGCGGCAGCGGGGCCAGCACGGAAGGGTTGTTCTGAGGGGGTGAAACGGGGTCCCCCAGCAAACCAGCCCCCAACCGCTATGAACGGGGCCGGGCGCTCAGCGAGGTCCCTGCTGCTTGGCCAGCAAAGGGCTGGGCAGGAGCTGGGGAGCCCAGGGTGGGCGTCTGGGGCACAGCCCGGTGCTGGGAGAGCCCAGGAGCCCCAAATCCTCCCCCCACACATGAGCCAGACCCAAGCCAAGCCGTAAAGCGGGTGGCCTGAGCCTTGATCCCCACGAAACGGCCGGGTGAGCGCCTTGCCCTGCCGCAAAGGGTCCCCAGGAAGGCATCGTGGGATTGCACCTGCTGCCTTCACACCACCCCTTCCTCCTCCTCCTCCTCCTCCTCCTCCTCCTGCCTCCAGCCCCAGAGACAGGGGGAGCCCCCAGCCCCTGCGCTCTCCCCCCGGCCCCACTCACCAGCCCCAGAGCAGAGCACCGCGACACAGAACCACCCCGTCCCAACGCCTCTGGGCTCCATCCCCCTCTGCCCCACGGAGCCTTTCACCACTGCTCCCCCTCTTGCACCTCCTTCCTTCCCCTTTTTGCCCAACCAACAGCTTCCTGTGAGCTCAAAGGTGTTGACTATGAAATGGGGTGATTAATGGCCAGAAACCATCCCAGGGGGTCATTCTGGGGGCTGTGCCTGGGGTAAGGGATACATCCCTGTCAGCCATCAGCGTGGGTGAAGGAGGAGCCGATGCTCCAGCTCGGCCCCGGCTCCCTTCAGGCCTGTCCCTGGTGCCACCACCCCTGGTTTAAGCCCTTTCCAGGCTGGGGACTGGAGTTACAAGCCCAGATTTGATGCCACACAAAAGAATGCCTTGGTAAAACGCGTGGCCCACGGAGGTGTATATTTTCAATTGATCAGCATGAATTTGAGGAGCTCAAAACCAAGCCCATCACGTACCGTGAAAATGCAGAGAATAAACAAATGACGCCCTGGCCCCGTCAATAATGGACTGTTTTCACCCAAAATAATATGCAGACAGAAACTGAGCTCAGATGCGCCTTGCATTTTTATTCCAGCAGCTCCTAGAGGGCTCTCCTGTGCCAGGCACTTCAAAGAAATCTCCAGTTTCATCCCTGAATAATTTACTATCCGCACAGACAAGACAAAGAGCAGGGGGAAGCGACACGCACGGGAAGAGGCTTCCCAGGGCGAGCGGCGTCTGTCTGTCCCGCAGCACCGGAAAATTGATGCCAACGTGCGTGTGTCGCTCGGTTGCCGGCTCTGGGTGGGTTTGGGGAGCGGGAGGGTGAGGGCGTGCCCCAGGCCCGGCTCACTGGGCACCCAGGTCCCTGGAAGTCCCAGATCGGGGTCAACCCGCGCGGCCCAGGGTGGGTGCAGCCGCCGCCACGCCGTGCAGCGTCCCCGCAGTGCTCGGGGCTGGGAGAGCTGCTCTGCTCCTTAAAATGGAGCTGGGAAGCTGCCTAACTCTGGAAATACACAATACATACATTTCACATGCAATTATTTCATCCAAGAATAAAACCTCATCTACAGACACATCAAAGAAGTGGAGGGGAACGGCACCAGCCACGTTCCTTGTCCTGTTTTCCCACTCCCACTCCCGGCCCCCAGCATGGCCCTGCAGCATCTCGGGGGATCCCGGGAGCATAAAGTGATGCTGAGCACGGTGCAGGGGTGCGGTGAGGTTTGGAAGGTCCCCAGCCAGCCCAGGAGCCGCAAGGGCTGAGGAAGCAGCTGGTACCAAAACCGCAGCAGCCTGGGCATGTGCGCCTGGGCAAAGGCACACGCGTTCCATATTCAGCTTTTTACCACTGAGCGTTATTTTTGCTTTCTCTTGGTTTAGCAACCAAGTGAAGCAGCCAAAGTATTTGCCAAGTTTAAGTGTATCGCAAAAAAAAAAAAAAAAAAAAAAAAACATTAAAACAGGCTTTAAGAGGCTCCTCAAGTCTTCCCATCCTCTCGTCCTGAGGCTCCACACTTCAAGGTGCTGCAGAGCAAATCCCAGGAGCAGCAGCTCGTGTCCTTGCCCCAGGAGGGCTGGATATGCAGCCCCACTTTTGGTCCTTGGTCTGGTCAGAGAGGGCAGAAAAAGGAGCCCCAAACCCCCTGGATGCCAAAACACGGGCAGAGCTCCCGCACCAGCCGAGCCGGCGCTTACAGGGCACTCACATCCTCGGGTGGATGGCCGGGCACTGGGGCCAACTGGTGGCAGCGGTGGTGGGGAGGGAAGGGGGGGACGCTGCAGCCCCAGGGTCCAGGGCCGGGCACGAGGAGCACCGGAGCCGTGCCAGGATTGACGAGTAGATGCTTTTCTCGTCCTGCTCCCAGCAGCCTGGCATTGCCGCTGCCCATCTTCTCATCATCCGTCTGCAGTTGCAAAGGGACAAAAGCTTTGCCTGGGCTCGGGGGAGCTGATCCTGCCACCGGCGAGAGAGAGGGGACCCCCGGGCCTGGCTTGAAGCTCTGGACCCCAGGACAGCCCAGGGAAAGACCCGTCTGCCTGTGCCTCTTGCTCCAGGGGTTCCGTCTCTCACCCTGGGGTCTCGCCCATCTCCTGGCTTGGTCCCGGAGCCCCGCCGAGGAGATGGACACAAACCCCAACTCACCTGGGCCACGGCCCGGACAGTGAAATGGAGGTTCTGGAGGTCTCCACGCTGGGGATCGACATTTTCTCTGGGTCACATTGCTGTGCATTAGAGAAACTCTGCATACACACCTGGGGAAAAGGTTTTTCAAAGGGTTTCCAGGGCTCTGAGCTGGCAAATGGATCTCATAGCCTGGGTGAGCCAAAGAAGCAGAGTTTGGAGGGGTTGGGCACCCCTGGTGATGCACCGGGAAGCACAGGCAGGTGGCTGCGGCCGCGGTGGCTGCTCTTGGACCAGCCCCAGTGCTGACACGTCCCCTTCCAACTTCCAGGAGGAACCAACAGGCAAAGCCAGGGGTTGCCCAGCTCCCCTCCTTCCTCCCCATCTCTGCCCCGTGTCCCCAGGCCACCCCTGTCCTGGGCAGGGACCTGCAGGCAGGAAGGGGCTGTGGTGGGTCCCCTCTGTGTGACCCACGATGCTGCCAGGCTGCTCCTCGCCAAGGGCTGGAGGGAATCTCAGCTTAAGTTGGGCTGGGCTTGAGCAAAAGCCTGGCCCCTCAGACGTTCTGGGGGTCTGGGTCGAGGTGAGCATCACTTCTCATCGCACCGTCCCTCCTGCCCTGGCTGCTGTGGGAGTGGGGTTCTTGCTTCCAGCTCAAAGGGCAGCAGTCAAAGGGATTTGCTAGTGAAAATCAGCTTTTTTTTTTTTAAATTTAAATACAGGATCCCTGGCTGGTTTTGGAGGGCGATACGCCTTCGTCTCTCCTTCATAACATTGCCACTGTCGCAGCAAGCCTTAACGCCAGCTCGTTCTTTGGCTCATCAATGAGAGACTGGAGAGAGAGGATTTAAATCCTTCATAATCCCATTTTCGGGTCAAAATTTCAGTGCCTTTCATTTGGAGCGCAGCTGGCAGCCCCCCAGAGGAACAGCCATGCAGGCTTCAGCCCGTGCGGAGAGGAGCACTTGTGGGGGGGAGAGGGGTTTTTGCAGCTACCTGCTGGATCACCGGTGCTGGATGAGGAACTGCTCCACGGCAGGGTGACTGCAGGAATTCGGGGATTCCTTTTGATTTTAAATAAACTATTTGCCTCTGAGGCTCCGGCCTGAGGTCCCTCAGGAGCGCCTGTGCTTTCACATCCCCCAAGGGCTCACGAAGCGAGTTCCCCCACAGTCACAGGACACCCACGCTATGCCCCACGTGCAAAGGGGGGCGCAAGGGACAGAGCCTCGAGGCGCAAAACGAAAGTGCAAGGAAGAATTTGTCATGGCTCAGAAAGGTCACGCAGGTTCCCTGTTGTCACCGAACCAAAAGGCCAAACTCACCTATGCGAGCAGGCAAGAAAACGGATGATGGCCTCTTCCCCGCACATGAAGCTGCTTCACCCCTCGTCTGAGAATGAGGAAGACATACCCTTTTTATTTTGGCTACTTCTCATTTTAAAATGTAGTACTGTCAGTTTGGGCTGGCAACAGAGTTTCTCTCCCCAGTTGCTAGAACGGGAACTGATCCTGGCTCAGCCAGACCCCGAGGTTGTCCCCTCTCCGCTGGGATCTGCATTGCTGATCCCCCCCCCCCCCCCC